GTGTTCTTCAGGTTTCTTCTAAGTATCTTTTTGAGACACCCTATCCACAGCGCCAATTTGCAACGTGCCGAAAAGCGTTACTTGTTGAAATGGAAGCAATAATTGAACAAACCCTCTTTTGATGGTATTTATTGTATTTATTATGTAAAACAGTTTTTGTAGAAAATATTTTAAGTCCAAATAATTGACTTAAGCGAGTTGTGACTATGAGTAATTAGTGACAGTTAAAGTTGAGGCTGGTTGCTCGTTTGTTGAAAGCTGATTGTGATAAACACACTATTATTAGTGCTGTACGTGCGACGTTACTGGTAGCCGTTACTGCAACGGCATCATCATTATTGTTTAAAATAAACGTCAAATTATTATCATTCCAACCATGAGTTATTAATTTATATTATTGAACAATACTATTGTCATCCATGGGTGACCTGATCCGGCGGCTTGTACGTACACGGTGCACCTCACCGTTATCAAGTGCCACCTACTCCCGCGTAAGTCCACCAGCACTCTCTGTAGTGTGTGGGAGGCCGCCCAGGTCTTCAGAATCCACGTCCAACGGGTGTCTCACTGTGAGCAGGCTGTCCGGGTTAACTTCAAGGTTTCATTAGTTTTTAAGATTAATTATTAAGGTTTAGCCAACTCATGTGAGTTCTGTGGTCATTGCACCGGGCCGAACCGACTACGAAGACCCCCCCCCCCACCCCCCAATAACTAAATTCTATCATCCTGTTCTCATCAACACCTCACCTCGCGTTACTATTCAAAGGTCAGCGTTGTCGTCGTGTACATTAGGTTTCCTACCCAAGTTATAAAAGGCGACATAAACATTTACAATCAACTTTTTGGTCTATATTATTCGTCGAGTGGTCCTTCGGGAATGTGCTTCGTCAGGTGTCTTGATGTACACAGAAATAGAACCACTTATTATATTATTTTCTGATGAAACATATAGGATTACAGTTAAATCTCCTTGTTATTATAATTAAGATGAAAATTTAAAAAAATATTTAGGTTTCGAAAACAGTGAATTTGATTTTTCAATAGTTAGAAGTAAACCAATAATTTACCATCCCAATTCTAATGAAAATTATATATATATATAGAATAAGATTGTAGATTTAGATTAAGTAGAAATGGTGAAATACCAATGGATACAATTTTTAAGGGAATATACACAATAAGTGAAATTGAAAATTTATTGAATTGTTACGATTTCCCTAAAATAAGTCTTGAATTGATTGATGGTTTTATAAATATTTCAACCTCAATCGGTCTATTGATGAATACTTATCAATATGTTTAGGTATTGATTATATTGGAGATTTTATAACACCAGCAAACCCTATAAATAAAATATGGCCTGTTTCATATGAAATAGCACCAGATATTTTTTATAAAATAATAGGTACAAAGAAAGCAATGATTTATACACAAGGTTTTATAAAAAAATATGAAAGGTATTATTTCTAATGAAAATAGTAAAACTGAATCAAAAGGAAATTATTCAATTGAGCATTTAAATAGCTTATTCAATTCGATTATGAAGTTGGAAAATATTGGTAATTATATTAAAATAACAACAAAAGATTATTTTTCATTTGATAAAGATTTAAATTTAAGTTTAGGAGGGATTGATACAATATATACACATTATGGAGAAAATTCATCATTAAATAATAACAACAAAATATTAGAAGTACATTGTAATATAATTGAAGAATCTATTACACATAATATTGATGATGTATCTCATTCTGATGAAGTTTTATTTTTATTTCAATATAATTCTAATAGTGTTTTAAATAAGCCTTTTAAAATTATATATAGACCAGTGAATAAAAATCGTTTTCAAGAAATAAAAATTTAGATTTTAGATTTGAAAGGAAATATTGTTAATTTTGATGAAGAATTTATTGGTGTTCTTGATCTAATAAAAAAATAAATATTACAAACTTTTTTTCAAGATAAAATATCTTGAAAAATTAAAGTAGGGAACGATTTTTTAATTAATTTTAATATATTTAATAACTTTCATCAACTATTCCTCTTTCAATATCAAACGTATACACTGCACTAGAAATTAAACAAATATAACAAATTGTTTTATCAGGTAAATTTTGACTGAAATCTAAGTTTAAAATTACTGTACAGTTGGAGATTGCAATTTGATTAGGGTGTCTAGTCATGTTAACAACAAAAAATGGTCTTTTTTGTCTAAATTGTAATTTATCTAAATACATTAATGGATTTTCTTCATGTGATTTATAATAGGTTTTTTTATAATTCATATGATCTTCATATGATTGACAACATTTTATATCATTAAAATCTTGATTTTGTAATTCATTAGGATATTTTTTTCCATTTACTTCAAAAGAATAATTTACAACATTACAATGATCAAAAAAAAACAAGCATTACTTTCTTGATTGTCTAATCTGTTTGTCTGAAAATAAACAACACCAAACAATGGATGTCTATTATTTTGATGACTAAATGATAAATCGAATCTTATCTTTTTTCCAGTAAGATTTCTTACTTCAATATTTTGAAATTTTTTAAAAGCTAAAATACATGGATGCTTAATTAATTCATCAACTACTTGAATTTTTGTTATTTCATCATATTCTATATTTTGCATTTGAACTTTTAATTCTAAAATATTAATTTTACCACGTTTTGCTTTAATATTTTTTGTATCTGCTGTAGCTTCATTGTTTGTTTCTAGAATCAACGCATCATCATCAGTGTTTCTTGTAAAAATTATTTCAAATCTAGCATTGTAAAGAGGACCTTTTATATCTTTCATTGATCCTAAACCAAAGAGTGATAAAGGAATGATGAGCTCGACACTTCCTCCCCATTGAGATGTAGATTCAAATCCTGAATTTTATGTAGGACCATTTCCATTTGATATATCATATTTATTTAAAATATTTTCCATTTCTTATTTATATTACCAAATATATATTTTTTTTTTTAATAAATGGATAAAGTAAAAGTAAAATTTTTTATTGAAGATGAAAATAAAAAAAAATCTTTATTTGAATTACCTTCACGTGTTTTAATTATAGGACCATCTGGTTGTGGTAAAACAACCTCGTTATATAATCTAATTATAAATTATTGGATTCCTTATTTAAATCTATATATTTTTACAAAAAATATTGATCAACCAGTCTATAAAAAAATAAAAAAAATATTTGATGATATACCTTCTATAACCACACATTTTTCTAATGATGAAATAATATCTGTAGATGATTGTGAACCAAATAGTTTAGTGATTTTTGATGATTTTCTAAAAGAAAAACATGACATGATAATTGAATATTTTATAAGATCAAGATCAAAGAATATTAGTGTTATTTATTTAACACAAAGTTATACTTCAGTAGATATAAAAACAATAAGAAATAATTTGAATGTTTTAATTGTTTTTAATCAGTCAAATTATTATATTGAAAAAATATGGTCCGATTTGATTAGTGAAGAGGTGGCTTTAGAAAATTTTAAAGAAATTATTAGAACTTATTGTAAAAATATGATAAAAAAAGTAAAATAAAAACATATAGTTTTATAACAATAGACTTGATAGAAAATTTAATCTACGATAATAAAGGTAATAAGATTTAATATAATATCGATGAATGATGATGTTTTAATTTAATTTTTGTATAATAAATGGATAATAAACAAATTCAAAAAGAATTTTAAAAAAAATGTTACATTTGAAGATCAAACACAAAACAATTCCAAGGTAGGAAATAATTTAAAAAACACATCAGATGTAAAGATTCAGACCAATAATTAATACTAAAAAAAAATTACAAAATAGGTTTAAAGATGTATTATTAAAACCTAATGAAAAAGAGACTGTTATTATAAAAAAAGATGATGAAGATGAAGATGAAGATGAAGATAATATTAAAAAAGAAAAAAAACAACACAAATTTACAGATGTAAATAAAATAATTTATCTTAAAAAAAGATTCACAATATAGATTTAGAAATACAGTTGTAGGTAAAACAAAAACATATAGTTGAAGAACAAGAAAAAGTTTGGATCAATAATAAACGCATTAACAAATGTTAATACAACAATGAATGAAGTTAAAGATGTTGCTATTCAAACTGAAGGAGATATTCAAAAATTAAATATACCATATTATTATCAACCAAGAAATCCAGAATTAAAACGATTAATCAGTTCAGAAGAGACTTCTGGAACTCCAAAACGTTCTAGTCAAAAATCAACAAGTAATTCTCCATTACCTAAAAATGTTATAAACTTAGGTCCTACTGCAACAAGTTATTAACCATCTTTAAAAGATACTAATTCTTTTGGAATATATAATAATGATAAAGATGATATTCATATGATTGGAAAAGATAAAATCAATTTTGATAATTGTTGAGTATTGTTAATATGAATAATAACACAAACGTATATTATAGTCTTTTATTGTGAAAAGTATAAAACGAACTGACGTACATATAAAATTGTCTACTTGCTAATGACCGATAGACAATCCCCACCGATCGTAATATGATACTTATGATTATTATTATTAATATAAACGTTTAGTATACAATGTAAATGCTGAATATGCAACATCTCTTTCCTTTAAAAAAAATATAAAGTATTTTGTATAGTGCTTAATTACTATGTTAGTATTTATTTATTTATTTATTTTTTTTTTTTATATATGAGTATTTATTATATAATATGATAACTGATATAATTAATAGATAATTATTGCAATTATTGCCCTAAGCATAATCACTTGGAGAATATCGCCGAGGCGGTTTTCTAGATCTAATTGGTCTGGGTGTTTTATTTACTATAAGGGATCGGCCGGATCGGGATTTTGATTTTCACCTACTGTTTCAGTATTTTTAGAATTTTCATTTGCTTGTCTAGCTGGTGTATGTGACAGTGAGTTATTTATTTGGTTGTGTGGCCATATCTGATCAGTGTGTCTTATCCATTCAGAACCCTAGTCTAGTATGATTTTATGAGTGTTTTTACTAATGTTTTCTGTTATTTTTCCTTTTTGCCAATTTTCATTTTTATTTCGATAATCCTTAACTAATACCAAATCACCCACTTTTATATTAATATCTCTTTTTCCTGAATTTTTTATTTGTGTAATTTGGTTATTAATAACTACTTCATTTGTGTTTGGGATTAATAAATCAAAAATAGTACGTGTTGAGCGGCCAAACATAAGTTTTGCTGGCGTTTCATTTGTGGTTGAGTGTACAGTATTTCTATACATCAATAAAAATTTATTCAAATGGTGTAATGATGTTGAACATTTATTAAAAAATTGCTTAACTATTTTTACTCCAGATTCGGCAAATCCATATGAGGCTGGGTGGAAAGGTGCCCCTGTCAAGTGCCTGATACCTAGTGTCTTGCAATATGACTGGAATTCATCGCCATTAAAACATTTTGCATTGTCAGTTGTTATTGTTCTGGGAATGCCAAAACGTGCAATTAACTCAGACAGTTTTGTTATGACCGTTTGTGCTGTCATCGAATTTACTTGAAAAACTTCTAGCCACTTTGTGGTTGCATCGACAATAATTAAGAATGTTTTGTTTTTGTACGGACCTAAGAAATCACAATGCACTCTCGTCCATTGTCTTTGTGGCCATTTCCACGGAGTTAGTACTGACTTAGGAGGATTAGGTCTCGCATTTATGCATTCATTGCAGTTTCGGACCATATCCTCAATGTCTTTATCTATACTAGGCCACCATGATATAATTTTAAATGGAAATAGATATAAAGGAACTCAATGTTTGTGGAGATTATTAACTCATGTAGATCCTACCAAACCAGAAGTTTATACAGATGATGATTTTAATAATTATAAAAATATATTAATTGAAACTGATTATATATATCATAACAATGATATTTCAACGGGAAGAGCTAAATCAAGTGGTGGTGCAAAATATATAGGTAGCAATGATTTAGAAAAGAAATTGATTTGGAAAGAAATAAAAGAAATTAATGAAAAGAAAGAAACTACTGATAAGAAAAAAATTAATAAAAAGAAAGAAAATAATGAAATAGGGGAGGGTTTAAAGAAATACAGAGAAGATCGTATTGAATATCGTTATATTAGTAATGTAAACCAAGTGATATATAATTTACAGTTTATTTCTGCAGAAGAAAGAGCTTTAAATAATAATTTTAAAAACGAAAAACTTGGTATTGTTCATTTGTTTAAATCAATTATGGAAAACCTTATTGATACTCCTGAAAGTATTGAATATTTACTAAAATATGTAACTTGTTTACCAAAGGAAGTGAAAATATCAAAAGGAAAAATAATTAAGAGGACGTTATACCGCTTATTTTCAACGGTAAAAACATGTCCACGAAAAACAGTCATAACTTCACTAAAAAGTGGTTTTAGAGTTAAAATACCTATAATAAAATGTATAGAGAACAATATTTCCAAGAAAATGTCATATCCGTTTTATATAAAAGTAATTAGTAAAAAAGATACAGCTAATTAAAAAACGTAAAATATGTATATTTTGAATTTTAATTTGTAAGTTATATACTAGCAATATTAAAAAACGCATATGATATTTTCTCCAAAATATTGTTTTCTTTCGATTTTATTATAGGTGTTTTTTCTCTAAAACTACTTTAAAGCGAGCAATTGCAATTTTCCGTAGTTATGTTTTAGTTGTGAATTTGTGATATGTTTAATTTATCATGCCGTATTGTGCTGCTTCTAGTGGATAGTTATATAAATAAAATTTCCAATTGACTGTAAATGATGGGAGGGAGGTAGCGTGTGCCGACCGCCGCTGTCGTCGTCGTTGTTATCTGCAATTCTGTGAATAGTAGTAAATAGTAATAGCTAATAACCATGATTACTACATTATACGCATAATTATTATTATTCGTCCAGTACTTATTCGTATGACTAAAATAAATTAAGATGATTATTATTATTATTATGATTATAATATTATTGTAGTCATTCTGAGTTCTGATGTGACTCGTGGCAGTATGTACAAATAATTTACAGGTCTAGATTATTGTATTTTATTTCCACTTGTGTTGTTTATAATAGTCATTTAAAAATATGGCAAATAAAAACAACAAAACAAAACGTCCGCGTAGGAAATATATTACTAAAAACCTTATTTTGAAGCGTTATAATAAAAACAAAAGGTAAGTTTTTACAAGATTATTACATTTTTTTGATATGGAATGGTTAAAATAGTTAAATATTATAACACAGTTTATAATTTATATTACTGAACTCAAATCAACTTTGGAGAAAATGCTGTTCAGCTACTACGAGATTTTTAAATTTTTTTTTCGAAACTCATGTAAAATGACGATTTAAAAACAATGGTGCCAAAAAAAATCCCGCAAATATTAGTAGTTCGTTATAAATTATGACGATTATTACGCATTTATCACGACATTTATTGTATAATTATAATTATCAACATAGTTTATTTATTCATTATTGGTATAATAGGTACCTAACTACCTAAGTATTATAATGTGTACCTACATGCAGTGGCGGCGTGATAGGGTGTTTCATGAGGCAATTGCCTCACGACCAATTAGGTGGTGATACCACCCCCGGGTACGGATATTAAAAACCACATATGAAATATGGTCAAGGGGACGGAGTGGCCGAGTGGTCTAAGGCGTCGGTCGCGACGCAGCCGGTGCCAGCTCGATTCCTTGGTCGCGGGCGGCAATTTTCTTTGGGCAAGTCACGGAGAATAAGTGCCGCCATCTCACACCCGGGCATGACAAATACCTACAGGTGCCCCAAATATTTTACCTATAGTAACAAAAATCTCATTTTTATGAAAAATGGAGTTATCCTGTTTTCGCTTAGCACGGCAGTACAGTACCCTCCCCTACAGTACCACAGGCCAGTGGCGTCCGCAGGGGGGGGGGGGCTAAAGGGCTGAAGCCCCCCCCATTGACCGTATTATTGTTACTTTTTCAAAAAAATATTAATCAAGTTAGACTGTCAACTATAGTAAGCAAGAAGTAAATTTAATATATGTCTTACCAGAATGAATTCATTTTTGAAAGAACATTGTATTTGCATACCAATTTTCATAAATTATCTGTAATTTTTAGGTAAAAGTATATGAACTACTTAGGTATATGAAAGACCTTGTATTAAATTGTCTAGCCTTAGCTATATATATTTTATAAGTTTTGAACTACAAATTAATTGTCTGCTTATAAAAAATAACCATATTGCCTATGCAGTGTTTGAAGTATGAAATATTTCACAAAAAAGTGACACATTGAAATTTATTTACACAAATAAAATCACAATTTATTTATTTTTTTAACACAATGTTCAGTGTTCTAAATTCTAATGACAGAATTCAGTATTTATACAATATACATGTTTAATATTGTATATACCTACTTGTATCATTTTAACATTAAAATATTGAAAAATTTTGAATACCATTTTAAATGTATAATACCAAAGGTTGGGTATACATACAGGTACCATATAGTTATGAAGGTAATTTATGACAATTATATGTAAAATAAAACTTATTTAAAAATAAAACAAAATATATCATAATACTGAAATATTTAATTTTTTTAAATTTCATGAAATTTTCGAACACTGGCTATGCATCGTTAATATTTTAGCTATAATAAAATAACTTACGTATTAATGTATTATATTTTTTAAGGTTTTTGACCGGATAAATAATTTTTTATTGACATTTATATAGAAAAAAAATTTAATTATTCAAATACAATCCAAGTGAAGACGGTAGGTATAACCAAACATTTAAATAAATTTTCATTTTTTTTTCTCCAATTATTTTTAAAAGCACTGAGAATTTTCAATTTTGACCTCCTAAAAGTACTAACTAGATCCAATTTGCTTCCAAAAACATACATCGAAGCTTATGATCAGAGCATTTTTTTCTACCAGAAAAGTTGAAAATTTACAAACATTTTAAAATACCTCAAATAAACGTCTGAAATTATTAGACTGGACAAAATAAAAATGTAACTAATTTTCAAGCCCCCCCATTGAAAAATCCTGCGGACGCCACTGCCACAGGCTAATGACCTAAGTTGTCGAAGCCTTAACCCTAATAAAAAAATAAATAAATAAATAAATATGGTCAACTAATGTCTAATACTATTAATTATACTAATTTTATAATAATTTTTTATATTTCTGATATTAACACAACAAAGTATATTATCGTTGTAGAATTGTGAATTAGGGGTGTGGGGGCAAAGCCCCCACGGGTCTGTGTGATAAAATTTAGGTGGTGGTGGTCCAGCATTTATACTTGCCTCATAAAATAAAATAGTTCACGCCGTCACTGCCTACATGTTAAAAAAATAAAAATTTTCAAAAATCGCGTGGTAGATAAACAGAATTTATACCTAAACTTTATTCTATTGTTATAAAATATTATGTTTTATATTTTATTTTGAAGTTTTACTTCTAATCCATTACCATTTGGTGAGACGTCAAATGAAACTGATATTTTGACTACGTTGCAGTTGGTTCCTAACAGGTTTGTTAATTTTTGGTACCTAATACGCTCATACACTCATTATAATTTATTTTAATTTTTATACCTGCAAAATATTTTTGATAATTTTTCTTTGAATTTCGATTAGATTTAGTGTAGCTAAATATTTTTTTATTTTTTTTTTTTTTGGTATTTAAACTTTTTATTTATTTAGAGAAATTGGTTCATTAAATAATCTGTCTACATCAGATAATGTGAACAATAACCTAGTTTCAAGTACTCCAAATTGTAATTTACCAAAAGATTGTATCAGTTCACCGAATTTAAAATATAATAATGATATTTCGACTGTTATGGAGCATAGCTTATGTACAGAATACAGTCACCCTAGTTCCGAAGATACCATAACTTCATAATATGTTTATTTTAATTAATATATGATGATGAATTATGTAAGTTATTACTTACAAAATAGTTAATTCAATTTATTTTACCAGTTTTTGCGGTGGTAGGAGGATTGTTGATATGAAACACGTATTTTTTCAAATACAAAATGAGCAATGTCATACTCCAGGGCTAGGATGTTCGTTTATGAATGTTGAACTAATAAACGAAATTACAAAAGGTTTTGCTACAAAATGGATTTTTAAATGTAAAATGTGTAACCTATTGACTACACTGGAATCAGAAAACAACGATCTAAACTGTATACCGATTAACAAAGCAATTGTTAATGGCACGTATGCAATTGGTATAGGATACACACAACTAGCTGAATTTTCGGCAAGTTTAGATGTTCCATATATGGCCCCCTCGACATATATAAAATATAGTGAGGAAATAAGTATGCATATGGAAACTACAGCATGGAGTGTTATGGAACTCGCTGGTATAGAAGAAAAAAAGTTGGCTTTTGAGGCAGGTGATATAGATAGTGATGGTATACCTATTTGCCCTGTTGTTGCTGATGGCCAATGAAGTAAGCGCAGCTACAAGACGAAATACGACGCATTTTCAGGAGCGGTAATATTTAACTGTGTTATAATAAATAAAAAAAATTTAAATACATTTTTAAAAAGCTCTGCTGTATATAGTAGACGATGAGTACACCTCGTCACTGTGATGGATGTGCCAAATTATTTGAATCGAGTGATAAACCATTGTATACGGTACAAAGTAGTCGAAATAATGATTTGATTTTCAGCTTTAGTATCTTGTTCGACGGGAAAGTGAATCTAGTTGGTACTTTTGAGAGGTCAAAATTTAAAATTCCCAATAGTTTTCAAAAGCTCAGGGAAAAATTAAGGAAAAACGGGAATTTTTACGCAAAATAGATTTTCGAGAAAATTCGATGTCAGTTTTTGGTGTAACTCTAAAAAAAAATACCGTAGATACACGACATTTTCACTGGTTGTTTATATTAGCATTTACTATACACGATATAATTTTCAAAATATTTTGATTTGTTTTGAACTGTTTACGGACATATTCAGATTAAAACTTTTTTAATTTTTTTTTCTATAAATGTCCATAAAATTTTATTTATTGGGTAAAATAGCATGAAAATTGAATAGAAAGCTGCTAATATATTGTTTCAAAGGCAGATGAAAAATATTAAAAATACATATTAGGCATAATTTTTTTTCAATTTACAGCAGAGCGACATCCACTTGCCCACCTTTTTATATTTATCTATATAAAATTTAGTACATTGATTTTTATCTTTATTTAGAATTTAGATACATTTTTAGTTATCTATTTCCAACATTGGACATTAGTCATATAATTTGGTACTTATCTACAGGCCACTATAATTGGATTTCGGACGAAAAAAATATTATTTATTGGAATAAGAAATCGGTACTGTGTGATTTGCGAAAGAGCGAAAACCATCGGTAAATCTCCCATGACCCACAAGTGCTTTTTAAATTGGAAGAATGGTGCTACCAGCATAGAAGCCGATGCTATAGCAGAAGGATTTTTATGCAGCGTTAAAATGCACGGTTTAAAATTTAAACAGTTAATTGGTAAATAAAATGTACCAACATATTTATACAATATACTGCTATAATGAATCATAAAATCACATATTATTATATCATGATGTTTATTTGTTTTTTCTTCAAGAGACGGAGATAGTAGTGTTTGTAAAAGATTAAATGAAGTTATGCCGTATGGACCTACATTTTTAATTGAGAAAAATTTTTACGAATTCTTAACTCAAAATAATTTGCTAATTTTCGTGATTTTTCCATATTTTGTCAATTTTTTAACTTTAAATGCTTATAATAAAAAAAAGTTGTGACTAAGGATTTTTAATATTTTTCATCTGCCTTTGAAACAATATACTAGGAGCCTTGTATTAAATTTTCAAGCTTTTTCAACCAACAAATAAAATTTTATTGATATTTCTAGAAAAAAAACTAAAAAAAAATGGAAAATGAAAATGTCCCTAAACAGTTCAAAATAAATAAAAATATTTTGAAAATGTTATCGTATATAGAAAATGCAAATATAAACAACCAGTGAAAATTTCATGTATCTAATTTCATTTTTTTTAAAGTTACACCAAAAACTAAGTTCAATTTTGTGAAAAATCGATTTTGCGTAAAAATTCCCGTTTTTCCTTAATTTTTATGTTGTTTTTCCCGGTGCTTTTGAAAATTACTGAGCATTTTAAATTTTGACCTCCCAATGCACCAACGATATTCACTTTCCAATCGAACAAGATACTGAAGTTGAAAATCAAAGCATTATTTCACGTGTGTGAAGTTGGGTGACCAAAGCTAGGTGACTATTTTTTTCGGGCGGCTAGTGATAAGAAACCTTGCACGTTGGGTTGCATTCTTTAAATTTCAAGGGTGCCTAACTATTGCATCGAAATTATAAAGTAGATGTCGCCCTATGTCATTTAATAACTATTTATTTTAAAAGTATATAAATAAATAATAAATTCTATTGGCGTCATTACCACGATAATTATACCGAAACCATAACTATACCGAATTATATAAATCAATATTAATTAAAAGTTAGGTTATAAATTGCCCTAATTAGTAATTTCGAAGACACGTTCTAACAAATGTACATTGCACTTTTGCAGTTTACATTAACTAATTAAAAGTGTAAACTGTTTAACGATGTCATTTGTTAGAGATCACATTCTACGGAGACAGGTAAGTTTATGTTATGTTAATTGTTTTAATTATGTCATGTTCCGTTTACCTATCCACATACTGAATGGTAGTGTCTATGCAAACGAAAAATAGGCAAAACTCTATCTCTATGTATTGTATAAACAATTACATTTATTTGTCATAATTCAATTTTATAGTACTGAGTATCCATAGGTGGCAAGGGGAGGGGATCTAACGTAGATTTATTCCCACCCCCAAAATAATATATTTGAAAATAAAGCCCCCCTTAAAATGAGAAAATAACCAATTATTGTAGTTTAGTACAGATTACATAATTATGTATTTACATTTTTTTTATTATTATTCAACACCTATAAAAATTTTATTTTTTATTATTCATTTATACAGTACAGAGCTAATACCGACTAATATCCAATTTCACAGTATACAATATCAAATAAAATAAAATTATATTTCAATTGTGTTTATTTCATTGTTGGTTTGATGGGGATGTAGGGATGTGTTTACTACCCAATGTTTTACAGGTTATCTGCCCATGTACCTATTATAAATATTCTAGGTACATTAAAAAGATGGATTTGGAGTTTATATATTTATTTATTTTTGTAAGTAAAATATTTAATAAATAATAATATATATCAAATTATGACTTATATCAAAGTTGTTACTTGTTTGTATAACTGTAAAAACATAGGTAAATAAATCATTTTTATGATGAGAAATAGTTTTTAACAGGTTTTAAAATAACTGAAACTGTTTCTATGTGTAAGGTAATATCGTATTAAAGTTCTAAGTATTGAAGTTTTCAATATTAATTATTAAATATATTTGATATTCTCTTGACAATAACAACAAATTATAAGATATTCATTTTAAAATGTATATATTATTCAAATAGTTAATGTAATTGATTATTCAGATTCTGGATCTTAAGTGGCCTCAGTATTAACTTAAAACATACTTAAGTTATATTCATACATATTATAATGGTTTATATTTGAAATATTTCATTCATAAATGGGTAAAAAAAAAAATATCTTTAGTTGAATTACTATTAAATACCATAAGTAATGAAAAAACATTTCTATGTTGTTTATTATTTGTAAACATAATATCCAGTCACAGTTCTATCATTGAAGGAGAGTTCATGTTTTTAGTATTTCAGCTCGCAAGCTGTTGCAAAATAAGTCTGATGACAAGATTTCATGACATGATAAGTAAATTAAACTTTCTCTTGTACTTCCCATTATATTTATTTTCCCATAAATTTTCAGGTGGCATGCAGTCTACATTTACTGTTGTACACAGGATTGGATTATTGCATTTATTATTTAGCTCAGTATTGTTGTATCCTTTTTAGACTTAATTTAATTTAATTATTGAAATGATACATGTGTAATATTTATTGTTTAAGTATTCAATATTTTGAAAGTGACAATCGTCAGCACAGGCTACAGGCATCATAGAATTAATAACTTTTCTATAAAGATTTATTTTAAAATTAGCGTTCGTTTTCATAATAACATAATTTTTTAACAAGTAATACTTATTTTTCAATTTAAAATTATTATGTCTTTAATATTTTTGTTCTCTTAAAATATCTTAATTTATTATCCATGTGTGCCAGTGTGTCATTGTCACGAGTTTAATGATGATTTCTAAAAGTGTAAAATATTATTGAATACATTATTATATTATTATACTTTATTTTAAAAGTAAAATCTATGTATTTTTCAGCCGCAAGTGATCCGGGTTTTCTACACATTTTCTATTCGGTTTTCTTCGGATTTTTCCTCGCGCATTCAATTCGGTTTTCCGCTGCTTTTTCCTTGCACACTCACTTCGGTGTTTCTGCGGTTTCTACCCAGTGCTAATTCTAAACATTTAATTGTTAGAAATATTAATTATTCGATTTATTCCAAGCGCTTTTACTTTTGTTTTCTGCGGTTATTCTGCAAAGTGCTAATTATAAACATTTAATTGCTAAAAATTGTTTTAATTGTGTTTTTATTATTTAAAGTTTTCATTTTTTACAGTGTTTTTTTTATAATTTAATTCTTTTTTAGTTTTTATTTTTATAGTGTTTTTTATTATTAAATTATTTTTTAATTAATTATCTTTTATTTTAGTGTTAGGTATAGTTAGGTATAGTTAGATATACAAAAGTGTCGTTGAATTACAATATCAGACACACAAATCTGCCGTTGAATTATTATTTCAGGCATACAAAAGTGTCGTTGAATTACAATATCAGGCATACAAAAGTGTCGTTGAATTACAATCTCAGACACACAAAAGTTTCGTACAATTTCCTATTTCAGTTATATAAAAGTGTCGTTGAATTACAATATCAGACACACAAAAGTGCCGTTGAATTATTATTTCAGGCATACAAAAGTGTCGTTGAATTTATCAGACATACAAAAGTTTCCTACAAAAGTGTCGTCGAATTTATATCAGGCACAGTAGGTTAACAATTTGCAAGCTTAATAATGAGTTTAAAACATAAATTGAATGAGGTAGCTCAGTATATTAAGACAGAATATCCAGAATTATATTTTGAGAATGTCTCTGTTTCCGATAGTTGTGTAAATAATATTTGCAATTTCATTTTTAAGAAAGATGGTGATCATAATTTGAGAAAATCAATAGTAAATGCTATTAAAAGAAAAAATTCATCTCTTCGTAAGTGTATTGAAACTATGAATTGCGCTGATGTGGCTAATACATCAGAAATTAATAATAGCACAATAATCAAATTTATTGAACATTGTAATTACACGTCTAACGATTTTGTAAATTACAATCACAAAACTCTAA